TAGGCCTGAAACATGGTCGTGTTAGTGAAATATCTAATAGGCCTGAAACATGGTCGTGTTAGTGAAATATCTAATAGGCCTGAAACATGGTCGTGTTAGTGAAATATCTAATAGGCCTGAAACATGGTCGTGTTAGTGAAATATCTAATAGGCCTGAAACATGGTCGTGTTAGTGAAATATCTAATAGGCCTGAAACATGGTCGTGTTAGTGAAATATCTAATAGGCCTGAAACATGGTCGTGTTAGTGAAATATCTAATAGGCCTGAAACATGGTCGTGTTAGTGAAATATCTAATAGGCCTGAAACATGGTCGTGTTAGTGAAATATCTAATAGGCCTGAAACATGGTCGTGTTAGTGAAATATCTAATAGGCCTGAAACATGGTCGTGTTAGTGAAATATCTAATAGGCCTGAAACATGGTCGTGTTAGTGAAATATCTAATAGGCCTGAAACATGGTCGTGTTAGTGAAATATCTAATAGGCCTGAAACATGGTCGTGTTAGTGAAATATCTAATAGGCCTGAAACATGGTCGTGTTAGTGAAATATCTCATAGGCCTGAAACATGGTCGTGTTAGTGAAATATCTAATAGGCCTGAAACATGGTCGTGTTAGTGAAATATCTAATAGGCCTGAAACATGGTCGGTCGTGTTAGTGAAATATCTAATAGGCCTGAAACATGGTCGTATTAGTGAAATATCTCATAGGCCTGAAACATGGTCGTGTTAGTGAAATATCTAATAGGCCTGAAACATGGTCGTGTTAGTGAAATATCTCATAGGCCTGAAACATGGTCGTGTTAGCGAAATATCTAATAGGCCTGAAACATGGTCGTGTTAGTGAAATATCTAATAGGCCTGAAACATGGTCGTGTTAGTGAAATATCTAATAGGCCTGAAACATGGTCGTGTTGATGTAATATCTAATAGGCCTGAAACATGGTCGTGTTAGTGAAATATCTAATAGGCCGGAAAAATAGTGGTGTTAGTGAAATATCTAATAGGCCTGAAACATGGTCGTATTAGTGAAATATCTCATAGGCCTGAAACATGGTCGTGTTAGTGAAATATCTAATAGGCCTGAAACATGGTCGTGTTAGTGAAATATCTAATAGGCCTGAAACATGGTCGTGTTAGTGAAATATCTAATAGGCCTAAAAGAAGGTTGTGTTAGTGAAATATCTAATAGGCCTGAAACATGGTCGTGTTAGTGAAATATCTAATAGGCCTGAAACATGGTCGTGTTAATGAAATATCTCATAGGCCTGAAAGGTTGTCGTGTTATTGAAATATCTAATAGGCTTGAAACATGGTCGTGTTAGTGAAAGATCTCATAGGCCTGAAACATGGTCGTGTTAGTGAAATATATAATAGGCCTGAAACATGGTCGTGTTAGTGAAATATCTCATAAACTTGAAACATGGTCGTGTTAGCGAAATATCTAATAGGCCTGAAACATGTTCGTCTTGATATAATATCTAATAGGTCTGAAACATGGTGGTGTTAGTGAAATATCTAATAGGCCTGAAACATGGTCTTGTAAGTGAAATATATAATAGGCCTGAAACATGGTCGTGTTAGTGAAATATCTCATAGGCCTGAAATATGGTCGTGTTAGTGAAATATCTCATAGGCCTGAAACATGGTCGTGTTATTGAAATATCTAATAGGCCTGAAACATGGTCGTGTTAGTGAAATATCTAATAGGCCTGAAACATGGTCGTGTTAGTGAAATATCTAATAGGCTTGAAACATGGTCGTGTAAGTGAAAGATCTCATATGCCTGAAACATGGTCGTGTTAGTGAAATATCTCATAGGCCTGAAACATGGTCGTGTTAGTGAAATATCTCATAGCCCTGAAACATGGTCGTGTTGATGAAATATCTAATAGGCCTGAAACATGGTCGTGTTAGTGAAATATCTCATAGGCCTGAAACATGGTCGTGTTAGTGAAATATCTAATAGGCCTTAAACGTGGTCGTGTAAGTGAAATATCTAATAGGCTTGAAACATGGTCGTGTTGATGTAATATTTATTAGGCCTGAAACATGGTCGTGTTAGTGAAATATCTAATAGGCCTGAAACATGGTCGTGTTAGTGAAATATCTCATAGGCCTGAAACATGGTCGTGTTAGCGAAATATCTAATAGGCCCGAAACATGGTCGTCTTGATATAATATCTAATAGGCCTGAAACATGGTCGTGTTAGTGAAATATCTAATAGGCCTGAAACATGGTCGTGTTAGTGAAATATCTAATAGGCCTGAAACATGGTCGTGTTAGTGAAATATCTAATAGGCCTGAAACATGGTCGTGTTAGTGAAATATCTAATAGGCCTGAAACATGGTCGTGTTAGTGAAATATCTAATAGGCCTGAAACATGGTCGTGTTAGTGTTAGTGAAATATCTAATAGGCCTGAAACATGGTCGTGTTAGTGAAATATCTAATAGGCCTGAAACATGGTCGTGTTAGTGAAATATCTAATAGGCCTGAAACATGGTCGTGTTAGTGAAATATCTAATAGGCCTGAAACATGGTCGTGTTAGTGAAATATCTAATAGGCCTGAAACATGGTCGTGTTAGTGAAATATCTAATAGGCCTGAAACATGGTCGTGTTAGTGAAATATCTAATAGGCCTGAAACATGGTCGTGTTAGTGAAATATCTAATAGGCCTGAAACATGGTCGTGTTAGTGAAATATCTAATAGGCCTGAAACATGGTCGTGTTAGTGAAATATCTAATAGGCCTGAAACATGGTCGTGTTAGTGAAATATCTAATAGGCCTGAAACATGGTCGTGTTAGTGAAATATCTAATAGGCCTGAAACATGGTCGTGTTAGTGAAATATCTAATAGGCCTGAAACATGGTCGTGTTAGTGAAATATCTAATAGGCCTGAAACATGGTCGTGTTAGTGAAATATCTAATAGGCCTGAAACATGGTCGTGTTAGTGAAATATCTAATAGGCCTGAAACATGGTCGTGTTAGTGAAATATCTAATAGGCCTGAAACATGGTCGTGTTAGTGAAATATCTAATAGGCCTGAAACATGGTCGTGTTAGTGAAATATCTAATAGGCCTGAAACATGGTCGTGTTAGTGAAATATCTAATAGGCCTGAAACATGGTCGTGTTAGTGAAATATCTAATAGGCCTGAAACATGGTCGTGTTAGTGAAATATCTAATAGGCCTGAAACATGGTCGTGTTAGTGAAATATCTCATAGGCCTGAAACATGGTCGTGTTAGTGAAATATCTAATAGGCCTGAAACATGGTCGTGTTAGTGAAATATCTAATAGGCCTGAAACATGGTCGTGTTAGTGAAATATCTAATAGGCCTGAAACATGGTCTAGTTAGTGAAATATCTAATAGGCCTGAAAGGTGGTCGTGTTAGTGAAATATCTAATAGGCCTGAAACATGGTCATGTTAGTGAAATGTCTAATATGCCTGAAACATGGTCGTGTTGGTGAAATATCTAATAGGCCTGAAACATGGTCGTGTTAGTGAAATATCTAACAGGCCTGAAACATGGTCGTGTTAGTGAAATATCTAATAGGCCTGAAACATGGTCGTGTTAGTGAAATATCTCATAGGCCTGAAACATGGTCGTGTTAGTGAAATATCTAATAGGCCTGAAACATTATCGGGGCCTGAAACATGGTCGTGTTAGTGAAATATCTAATAGGCCTGAAACATGGTCGTGTTAGTGAAATATCTAATAGGCCTGAAACATGGTCGTGTTAGTGAAATATCTAATAGGCCTGAAACATGGTCGTGTTAGTGAAATATCTAATAGGCCTGAAACATGGTCGTGTTAGTGAAATATCTAATAGGCCTGAAACATGGTCGTGTTAGTGAAATATCTAATAGGCCTGAAACATGGTCGTGTTAGTGAAATATCTAATAGGCCTGAAACATGGTCGTGTTAGTGAAATATCTAATAGGCCTGAAACATGGTCGTGTTAGTGAAATATCTAATAGGCCTGAAACATGGTCGTGTTAGTGAAATATCTAATAGGCCTGAAACATGGTCGTGTTAGTGAAATATCTCATAGGCCTGAAACATGGTCGTGTTAGTGAAATATCTAATAGGCCTGAAACATGGTCGTGTTAGTGAAATATCTAATAGGCCTGAAACATGGTCGTGTTAGTGAAATATCTAATAGGCCTGAAACATGGTCGTGTTAGTGAAATATCTAATAGGCCTGAAACATGGTCGTGTTAGTGAAATATCTAATAGGCCTGAAACATGGTCGTGTTAGTGAAATATCTAATAGGCCTGAAACATGGTCGTGTTAGTGAAATATCAAATAGGCCTGAAACATTGTCGTGTTAGTGAAATATCTAATAGGCCTGAAACATGGTCGTGTTAGTGAAATATCTAATAGGCCTGAAACATGGTCGTGTTAGTGAAATATCTAATAGGCCTGAAACATGGTCGTGTTAGTGAAATATCTGATAGGACTGAAACATGGTCGTGTTGATGTAATATCTACTAGGCCTGAAACATGGTCGTGTTAGTGAAATATCTTATAGGACTGAAACATGGTCGTGTTAGTGAAATATCTAATAGGCCTGAAACATGGTCGTGTTAGTGAAATATCTAATAGGCCTGAAACATGGTCGTGTTAGTGAAATATCTAATAGGCCTGAAACATGGTCGTGTTAGTGAAATATCTAATAGGCCTGAAACATGGTCGTGTTAGTGAAATATCTAATAGGCCTGAAACATGGTCGTGTTAGTGAAATATCTAATAGGCCTGAAACATGGTCGTGTTAGTGAAATATCTAATAGGCCTGAAACATGGTCGTGTTAGTGAAATATCTCATAGGCCTGAAACATGGTCGTGTTAGTGAAATATCATCCCCTCACACATACAATAATCTCTTCGTCAAAACAAATCATTATCAAGTTCCTCATATAACTGGCTAATAAATTGAGCTCGCTAGGAGTATTGCCTGTGAAGCTCAACTACCGGAAATATACTAACCGCAGTGTTGTTCGTCACTTCCGTCGATGCAGTGAGGTATACCGTCACAAAGGTATGCTATAGCTATACACTCGGAGTTGTTACACGTGAACTCCATGCTATAACAGGTCCGGAAATCTACAACCAAACACAATCTTATCAATGATTAATCCACTGTCAACTTCTGAACATTACATTTTGATGCTAGTATATATCCTGATGTCTGAAACAGAGAGGATACTTCGTGGTGATTGTCATCTTTACAAAAATGGCAAATTGATTAGTTTTTGGTGAAAAAATCCCGTGCCGTTGAACTATTAATTCATTAACCCAGAGGTTTTCTGACTACATAATCAATGTGGTTATAAGCACCAAAAATTAACACCGTTCAGAGAGGTAGGGTCAGTAAAGGCCTGATTCGACCTTATCGTATTCAACTTTAGAAACACTTTAACAATTAAGTATATATAAATATTCGTAATTAAGAAATGTTATTTTAAATAGGATTCGTTCATTCATTTCCTAGATGCTTCACCTGTCAGTAAGGGACTAGTTACTGAAGTACGGTACAGAAGACCCTTTTGTGCCATTTTCAGACCTGTGAGTGGTGGCCCAGTTCGTGTTTCCCTTCTAAGGGTAAAATTACACGGTTTGATGAAGTTATCAATATATATTGATGTGGTATTTTCCAGTCTACTTACACATTACATTACATGTAATTCTATCGGTCTTAAGTTTTATTGTCTCCAAAATATTCCTAAACATCAAATCTCATTCTCCTTTCAAATATAGCCGTAAACTCATAACATTATCAGGTTACCTACCACACTCTACTTCGTCCGAGTTGTCTCCACAGTCGTTCTCAAAGTTACAATGGCCATCTTGCGGGTAACAATAGCTGTTTTTACACTTGTTATGGGATGTTGGACACGTGTACGTTTCTGTAAAATGGAATTATTATCAGATCAAACTATTCTTATTGAAATCGAAATGTATTTCAATATTTTGATCCCTAGCATCAATAACACGTTATACATTAATGGATGTAAATCTGCTACTTTGTGTGCATTTTTTATTATAATATAAGAAGACAAGATGTATAACAAGATTTGTTCAGGAAAAGATTCCATAGTGTTAAGATAAACCCATAGGTTTTGTTTCTGAATGCACCTGCATCCCTATCCCTCCTTACCATTTTCTAGGCCTGGCAAATCAGCAGGTGTGCCTGCCCGTTGAGTAAAAGGAAAATTATAACACAAACCTACGATTTCATACTTTAATATTGATAAACTAAAGCTTTTTCCTCAACATGGGCTGATATCGGAAACAGCGTCTCCTCTATCGCCTCGTTTGGAATCTACAAGGGTGTCCTCGACTGTCCTTACATAGCCGCCATATGAAGGATCACGACGGTTAAATCTTTGATAATTGCTACGGAAATGGTTCCTCAGTCAACCATTTCTTTTTCATATTTCTATGATTTCAGTCCCTGGGTCACATTTCCGGTAACTGGATTTGACATAAGGAATCTAATGCTGTGCTTTTGTCTTGTCTAATTTTGTTACAAACAGCTGAATACGAACATTGCCAAAAATAAGAAAAAGTGGACAACATTTGAACAATTATATAAGTATAGGCACAAAGGCGGTATATGTAACACGCAAGAGATTTATCTCCAAATATGTCAGCACAATGCAGTCATCAAGTATGACACAGATATAAAGGCAAAAAGTTAGTTCTAGGCAACTTACCGCGAGATTTCGGGGGGGGGGGGGGGGGGGGGGGGGGGGGGGGTCCGAAAACTGTTTAACTTGTACATAAATACATCTTTTCAATCAAAGAGTATAGTAATATGGAAGAATTCAAAGAGACACTTGATCAAATATTCGTCACTTCGTTATTATGTGCTTTATACCCCGTTAATTATGGACCACTTGCTTAAATCCCCATTTATATAAACTTTTCCATCCAAATTTGGATGCAAACGAAGACAATATGATTCTTGAACAGAAATAATCTGTAGTTTGATATTTGCCCCAGTTTCTGTCGCGTGACATGTCGAAAATCGCCTCCATTCTGAAAGAGTTCCTAATCGCAATAACTTGGACACAAACAGAGCATAAGTCTCCTAGGTATTACTGATCAACAACCAGAAACGACACATCTGTGAAACAGACTATAGTAAGCTGTCCAGCGTAATTTTTTGTTAATAAAATATTGATTAAACACACATAAACGTTTTCGAATTGATAAAGAATAACTTAACTTTTCAAAAGAAAGGAAACTTTGTTACAAAGTTGTACTAAATGAAATGATTATGAATAGCTTAACTTTTCATACGAAAGGAAACTTTGTTACAAAGTTTTATTAAATGCCAGTCGAGTTGCTTTAAATAATCCATACTGAGGTATAATGGAATTTTCCAGGGGAATACACATTTATATATATAACATATGTACCCACAAACAAATCTTATTTGAAATATTAAACGATGACAGTAACTAATTAAAATCAATTATTTGAAGAAATTCGCAGATTTTGAAACGCATAATACATTACAAACAAAAAAGTACATAGATAATAAGGGACAATTTTGTTTTGGATTATGTCCTTTTTTAAATTTTATTAACCAAATCAGTCCAACACTATGATAGCATTACACGTTTTGATGTACATTTTTTCTTTATCGGGCCTCTATATTGTAAGATATTTAGATACTATTAACGTACCACAATCTTCCTCGTCTTTGCCATCGTCACAGTCACGATGACGATCACACCGCCTGATGATGTCTACACACACCGTCTTATTACACTGGAATTCCCCCTCGAGACACCCTATCACAAACAAAATTAAACAACTATAATGTTTATACCACATCTGGCATTCTGGTCTCCGATTAACTTAATCTGGATTCACAGGAGTGTAGATGTATTGTAGATCATAATGCTATGGCGTCATGTCGCCGTCATGTCGCTCTACAGTGTATGTCATGTCAACGCTTTGCATGTAGCCAGAGACAACACACATCATAACATTATGATATAGAAAAATACACTTCCTTAGCGTTTTCAAATGCTTGTTTCATGGCTTCCCCTCAATTGTTTATACAGTTTTGTAAAAGAAATTTCATAAGCATTCAGATATATACAGACAAACATCGCAAAAATTTTATCCAAGCAATACAGCTGGAATTGAGCAGGGACGTAGAACACAGTATTACGCACTGAACGTCCCTGAATGCTGTACTCAGACGAGGAAGTACACATATCATCAGTGTCTTGCCAATCGGAAATCCTTTGATACCTTCCGTGTAAGAGACGATGAATTTCTCAGTTACGGAATGTGACGATGGTTCCCGAGTCTTATCCTGGGTATCAGGTAAATATGAAATCAGATATGTTCTCACCTCAGCTTGTTACAATTGTATTTTTGTAACAAGTTTTTAACAATATGTACTTTAAACCATTAATACAAATGTTTGTGAAATTCATTTGAATCATTTAAGACTTTTAAGTATGTTTTAATTTCCAAATGAAAGCTCGGAGAAAATATTTTGATGGTAAGATATTTTATATTCAATCAACCTATCTGAAGTTTTCTTTCCGTGTAGCGATGAAATTTCCGGCGACCAGCTGTTCATGGCCATCACATTTGCAGTTTTTAGATTTTGTTGGATTTCAACCACTTTGAATTTACACACAATGCCAGAAAGCGCATGTTATCAATCATTCAAATGGATAGGATTTTCAAGGAGCTCTCCATCTTTATAACAGGATCTAATGGACACAATGATAATTCTACATGTTATCTGATATGTGAATATAATCAGCAAACGACTGTCAGATTATATTCCTTCTCAATTTGCATGCAAATTGAATGAGAGATAAAAACGGACTCCATCCAGAGAAAAAGTGATTGTAACCCCTGGAGTATCGAGGATACAGAGAGAAAAAGTGATTGTAACCCCTGGAGTATCGAGGATACAAAGAGAAAAAGTGATTGTAACCCCTGGAGTATCGAGGATACAGAGAGAAAAAGTGATTGTAACCCCTGGAGTATCGAGGATACAGAGAGAAAAAGTGATTGTAACCGCTGGGGTATCGAGGATACAGAGAGAAAAAGTGATTATATCCCCTGGAGTATCGAGGATACAGAGAGAGAGTGATTGTAACCTCTGGGGTATCGAGGATACAGGCAGAGAAAGTGATTGTAACCGCTGGGGTATCGAGGATACAGAGAGAAAAAGTGATTATATCCCCTGGAGTATCGAGGATACAGAGAGAGAGTGATTGTAACCCCTGGAGAGAGAAAGTGATTGTAACCGAAGGATACAGAGAGAGAAAGTGATTGTAACCCCTGGAGTATCGAGGATAGTTCAAGGAGTGTAGAGGGAGACAGTGATTGTAACCCCTGGAGTATCGAGGATGGTTCCAGGGGTAAAGAGCGCGAAAGTGATTGTATCCCCTGGAGTATCGAGGATACAGAGAGAGAGAGTGATTGTAACCCTTGGAGTATCGAGTATACAAAGAGAAAAAGTGATTGTAACCTCTGGAGTATCGAGGATACAGAGAGAGAGTGATTGTAACCCCTGGAGTATCGAGGATACAGAGAGAAAAAGTGATTGTATCCCCTAGAGGATACAGAGAAAGTGATTGTAACCGCTGGGGTATCGAGGATACAGAGAGAAAAAGTGATTGTATCCCCTGCAATATCGAGGATACAGAGAGAGAAAGTGATTGTAATCCAAGGAGTATGGAGGATACAGGGAGAGAGAAAGTGATAGTAAGCAATGGAGTATCGAGGATACAAAGAGAAAAAGTGATTGTAACCCCTGGAGTATCGAGGATACAGAGAGAAAAAGTGATTGTAACCCCTGGAGTATCGAGGATACAAAGAGAAAAAGTGATTGTATCCCCTGGAGTATCGAGGATACAGAGAGAGAGTGATTGTAACCCCTGGAGTATCGAGAGAGAGAAAGTGATTGTAACCCCTGAGAGAGAAGAGTGATTGTAACCCCTGGAGTATCGAGGATACAGAGAGAAAAAGTGATTGTAACCCCTGGAGTATCGAGGATACAGAGAGAAAAAGTGATTGTAACCCCTGGAGTACCGGGGGTGTAGAGAGTGATAGTGATGGTAACCCCTGGAGTATCGAGGATGGTACCGGGGGTGTAGAGAACGACAGTGATGGTAACCCCTGGAGTATCGAGGATGGTACCAGGGGTGTTGAGAGCGACAGTGATAGTAATCCCTGGAGTATCGAGGATACACAGAGAGAAAAAGTGATTGTAACCCCTGGAGTATCGAGGATACAGAGAGAGAGAGTGATTGTAACCCCTGGAGTATCGAGGATACAGAGAGAGAAAGTGATTGTAACAACTGGAGTATCGAGGATACAGAGAGAGAAAGTGATTGTAACCCCTGGAGTATCGAGGATACAGAGAGAGAAATTGATCGTTACCCCTGGAGTATCGAGGATACAGAGAGTGACAGTGATTGTAACTCCTTGGGTATCGACGATACAGAGAAAAGTGATTGTAACCCCTGGAATATCGAGGATACAGAGAGAGAAAGTGATTGTAACATCTGGAGTATCGAAGATAAAAAGAGAGAAAGTGATTGTAACCCGTGGAGTATGGAGTATACCGAGAGAGAAAGTGATTGTAATCCCAGGAGTATGGAGGATACAGAGAGAAAAAGTGATTGTAACCCCTGGAGTATCGAGGATACAGAGAGAAAAAGTGATTTTAACCCCTGGAGTATCGAGGATACAGAGAGAGAGTGATTGTAACCCCTGGAGTATCGAGGATACAGAGAGAAAAAGTGATTGTAACCCCTGGAGTATCGAGGATACAGAGAGAAAAAGTGATTGTAACCCCTGGAGTATCGAGGATACAGAGAGAGAGTGATTATAACCTCTGGAGTATCGAGGATACAGAGAGAAAAAGTGATTGTAACCCCTGCAATATCGAGGATACAGAGAGTGAAAGTGATTTTAACTCGTGGGGTATCGAGGATACAGGCAGAGAAAGTGATTGTAACCGCTGGGGTATCGAGGATACAGAGAGAAAAAGTGATTGTATCCCCTGGAGTATCGAGGATGGTACCGGGGGTGTAGAGAAAGAAGATCAGACTAAACACAACAATACACAGGGTGGAATAGAGTGATAGTGATTGTAACCCCTGGAGTATCGAGGATACAGAGAGAGAAAGTGATTGTAACCCCTGGAGTATCGAGGATACAGAGAGAAAGTGATTGTAACCCTGGAGTATCGAGGATACAGAGAGAGAATTGTAGTGATTGTAACCCCTGGAGTATCGAGGATACAGAGAGAGACACAGTGCATGTATCCTTTGGAGTATCGTGGAGAGAGAGAGAAAGTGATAGTAAGCACTGGAGTATCGAGGATACAAAGAGAGAAAGTGATTGTATCCCAATGGATTATCGAGGATACAGAGAGAAAAAGTGATTGTAACCCCTGGAGTATCGAGGATACAGAGAGAAAAAGTGATTGTAACCCCTGGAGTATCGAGGATACAGAGAGAGGAAGTAATTGTAACACCTGGAGTATCGAGGATACAGAGAGAGAGAGAGTGATTGTATCCCCTGGAGTATCGAGGATACAAAGAGAAAAAGTGATTGTATCCCCTGGAGTATCGAGGATACAGAGAGAGAGAGTGATTGTAACCCCTGGAGTATCGAGGATACAAAGAGAAAAAGTGATCGAGGATACAGAGAGTGAAAGTGATCGTAACATCGGGAGTATCGGGGATACAAAGAGAATAAGTGATTGTAACCCCTGGAGTATCAAGGATACATAGAGAGAAAGTGATCGTAACCCCTGGAGTATCGAGGATACAGAGAGAGTAAGTGATTGTATCCCCTGGAGTATCGAGGATACAAAGAGAAAAAGTGATTGTAACCCCTGGAGTATCGAGGATACAGAGAGAAATAGTGATTGTAACCCCTGGAGTATCGAGGATACAGAGAGTGAAAAGTGATTGTAACCCCTGGAGTATCGAGGATACAGAGAGAGAAAGTGATAGTAAACCTGGAGTATCGAGGACGGTTCCAAAGGAACGGAGAGAGTAAGTCCTTGTAACCACTGGAGTATCGAGGATACAGAGAGAGAAAGTGATTGTAATCCCTGGAGTATCGAGGATACAGAGAGAGAAAATGATTGTAACCCCTGTAGTATCGAGGATAGAGAGAGAGAAAGTGATTGTAACCCCTGGAGTATCGAGGATACAGAGAGAAAGTGAAAGTGATACAGAGAGAAAAAGTGATTGTAACCCCTGGAGTATCGAGGATACAGAGAGAAAAAGTGATTTTAACCCCTGGAGTATACAGAGAGATACAGAGAGAGAGAAAAGTGATTGTAACCCCTGGAGTATCGAGGATACAGAGAGAAAAAGTGATTGTAACCAATAGGAGTATCGAGGATGGTACAGAGAGTAAAAGTGATTGTAACCCCTGGACTACCGAGGATACAGAGAGAGAAAGTGATTGTAACATCTGGAGTATCGAAGATACAAAGAGAGAAAGTGATTGTAACCCCTGGAGTATCGAGGATACAGAGAGAAAAAGTGATTGTAACCCCTGGAGTATCGAGGATACAGAGAGAGAAAGTGATTGTAACCCCTGGAGTATCGAGGATACAGAGAGAAAAAGTGATTATAACCCCTGGAGTATCGAGGATACAGAGAGAAAAAGTGATTGTGAACGGAAGAGAAAAAGTCATCGAAACAGAGAGAGTATCGAAGATAATGAGAGAGAAAGTGATTGTAACCCCTGGAGTATCGAGGACACAGAGAGAGAAAGTGATTGTAACCCC